TTTTTTGATTTATTGTAGAGATGAGGTCTCGTCAAGTTGCCCAGGCGGGTCTTGAACCTGTGGACTCAGGCAATCCACTCACCTCAGCCTCCCAAAGGCGCGAGATTACAAGCTGAGCCACCAAGCTGGCAATATTTGTAATTATTTTAAAGTCCTGTATGCTCACTCCAATGTTTGGATCTTCTACATCTGCTTCTACTGACTGTCTTTTCTCTTGATTATCCATCACCTTTTTTTGTCTTTTTGCATGTCTAGTAATTTTGTATTTTATGCTGGATTGTGTGTTGCTGAAGCTCTGCATTGTGCTCTTTTCCTCTAAATTATGTTGAATTTTGTATTGTCAGGCATTTAAATTTTTGGCAGATCACTTCAATTCTGGCAATATTTGGATTAGATTTTGTTAGAGTAACTGGTTTTTAATCTTTTCCTTATTTCTAGAAAGTATCCTTTACTTTCCTCAAGGTCTCTTCACTTGGACTGGGCTGGAATTTTTAGATTTTCCCAGCATTTTGCAGCCTCTGAAATTTTTGTTCATCAATTAGCCTTTCAGTAGACTGTTTTCTCTCTCTCTCTCTCTCTCTCTCTCTGTGTGTGTGTGTGTGTATGTTTGTGTTTTAGTAGGATTTTCTTCTTTGTAAATATATCTGAATTAGCTTAAATTCAAGGGGAATTTGTTTGCAAAAATTTTTTTGACTACTTGCCTTTAGTTCCCCCTTACCTGGAACTTTCCTCCCAAATCCCAGCATTCTTAGCAGATCTAGACTCTGATCTGTTTCTTCTGCCCAGCGAAACTGACACTCTGTGCTTGAGCTCTATTTTCCTGTGCAAGAATTGGATGATAACTTCAGGTAAGATCTGGAGTGAATGGGATACTCATCTCATGTATTTGCATTCTCTCAATGATTGTACCCATAAATTATTTACTGTTCAATGCCTTTCAACTGTTGTTTTCATGTATTTTATGCAGCCACTCTAGTTTTATTTACTGGTGTCTTGAGCCAGTTACTTTATTATGGCCTGAACCATATTGTGGGGGAAAACTCTTTTGCTCTAAAAATATTAATGTATTTTTAAAAATTCATCAAACAAGCGTGTCTTGAGACCTGTTATGTAGCAATTAGTGTACTCATTATTTTGGATTTTCACTAGTTTTACCAAAACTGCAGGCAATGAGTCTCTATAAGGTATATATTTATGCAGACAAACCTATCAGAATAAATAAATATTTCTTCACCCAAAACTTTGCTAAGGCCAAAAAATGAAGAAACTATAAGCTTTAATAATGAGAATTTGAAATACAAAGGCAGTCAACAAATCATGGATCCATCAAAGTCAGCTTCCACATCTACTTTGTTATTTATCAATTTCTGGGAAAGTTTGCATAAAATTGTAATATCCCAGAGTCTTAGCTGACAGCATATTTGTATTAATCACAATGCTCAGGAACAGTTTAAATGAGCTATAGTTAACATTAATAGATAAAATTACGGCCGGGCTCAGTGGCTCAGCCTATAATACCACGCCTTGGGAGGCCGAGGTGAGTCAATAGCCTGAACCTGCGGGTTCGAGACCCGCCTGGGCAACTGGCGAAACTTCATCTCTACAATAAATCAAAAAATCAGCCGGGCATGGTAGTGCGTGTCTGTAATTCCGGCGACTTGGAAGGCTGAGGCGGAAGGATCGCCGGAGCCCAGCAGGTCGAGGCTGTGGTGGCCGGGAGCGGCCACTGCACTCCAGTCTGGGTGACAGAGTGAGACTCCAACTCAAAAAAAAAAAAAAGAGATAAAATTACAATGTAAATGCATCTCTCAAGAGATACATAGGCTTAATGTGTAAATCTTCACTGCCTCAGAATTCTTTCTCCCTTCCTCATAGATGCATAGATTTGTTCTTGGGCTCCAAACATAGAAATTTATGCTTATTGATATAAGCACTTGCAACTATTGCCTTGGTGTGCATGTGTGAGTTTTTTTTAAGGGAGCATGGGAAGAAGGAACCAGAAGTGTTTGGAGAGGCCATGCACATCCTCCTGCTCTGTCTACACCAAGACTATACTGACATGGGGCACGAAAATGAGTGTATACCAGCTTCTAGCTGTGTGGCTTTGTCAGGTAGAATACCATAGTGCTTTACCTTGGCTTGGCTTTCTCTTTCCAAGCCTGAAAATGTTCTAAATGTTTTTTTCTGACATCTGAATATTTGTCTTTTCTCACTCATCAATATATCTGAATAACCACAGGTATATATTCTTCTGGTGAGAATCACACCAGAAATGTGGAACCTAAAGAGAGATACAGAAGAGATAGCATAGCAACTAGCTAATGGAGTACAGGAGTGTCAATTAAGGAAAGCAGGCAGTCTATCTATATACTTCAAGCACTTCATTTAGAAAGCAATTCAGCAAGCTCTGCCAAAGAGACAAGTGCCAATAAATTAGCTAAAAAGTACACCAAAGAGTCAAAACACAATCAGAGTGTCTGTAATATTCTTGCAGTGACTCCTAGGGGGCCTTGGGTAAGTCAAGACACCTTTCCGTACTATGTTTTTAATCACCTAAACAGTGAAAGTAATGTTACAAAAGTTAATATATGTATATGTGTATATTTATGATTAAAATATGCTATTTCTTTGTTTACAAAATAAAGCAATTCACCAATTATTCTCTCAAAACATAGTGAAATAACCCATTTTATGAAAATAACTTATCGGCATAATTCTGGTTTATCTGTTCTGTTTCTATTTATACTATACTTCATGAAAAACTTGGCCCCCTTTGTGTAGGAAACAGTGTCATTTCATCTTGCACTGAGAATCTGTCTCAGCATAGGATACCTTAATTAAAGCAGTGTTTTTTCTAACTTAGAAAGACAATTCAAGTAATGAATCAGTGATATAAAAGTTATTTAAACTAAGTAACTAACTGCCCAGCTGGATATTTTTCTAATCTTTGAGATATATTTATTAAGATATTTTTTTCTCATTAGCTCAAAAAATGATTTTTTAAATCTCAATTTCAGCTTTTTCCCTTTGTCTTTTACTTTTATGAGTGAAAAACTATCATTAATTTTCTTCTTATCAAATAAAGAAAAAGGCAAATAAACTTTTTTAGGTTGTCTTATACTTAGCAAGAAATATCATAATACTAAGTACCAAAATAAATCAGCATGAGTCCAAATGATTCATATATATATATGGGAATTAAATATTTATACTTTCTTGAAAATCTGTTTTTTAAACTGGATATATATATATGTGTGTGTGTGTACACATACACACACACACACACACACACACACATATTTACATCAAGAAACGCTGGTGGTGGGAATGCAAACTAGTTCAACCTCTATGGAAAACAATGTGGCGATTTCTAAAAGAACTAGAAATTGGCCCTCCATATGTATGTATATATCCAAAAAAGTACACACATTTTAAGGAAGGAAAAAGCTGTATTAAAATCATAATACTCAATATATACTGATAATAAAAGATAAATACAAATCATGTTTGACTTCTGCAATTACACATTGTTATTGCAATTCAATTCAATTCAATTCAACTTCAAAAAATAATACAGAGATAACATCTCTTAGAAATGTGTATATATTATTTTTGGAACTCCTGGGGTGTGTGTGTGTGTGTGTGTGTGTGTGTGTGTGTGTATTTACATGTTTTTTAAAAACCTGTTGATGTCGAGATGTCATCATCTCAGTCAAATTGGTAAATTTGGGAAGAATAAAATACTTTTGACTAGTAAAAAATATCACGGGTTTGAAAATTTTTTGAAATATTAGAAACTTGAATCTACCTCTTTACTCTCCTGGAACTATCCTGGATGTGCAAAAATACTTCTTTTGAAATGCCAAAATACATTGGTTAAGGTTTGCATTATCCTCAGACCATATTCATCCACAGACAAGATGGGTTTAAAAGATAGATTGCTTGACCTTACTTTATATCTTATTCGTGTAAGGCAGAGACAAACTTTTCTGAAAGGGACTGGTGTGTATGATGTATTCTGATTTATCTGTCACTCTTTTATTAATATTAGGTGGCTACATTTGTGCTATTTTATATTTTAGCTTAGGAAAGCCCCTATTAAACTATTACAACCAGGAGGAAAGTGGTATAACATGAAGATTTCAGAATTATATGAGAATTAAATGTTTACCTATAAATCACAGCTGAAAAGTAGGAAGAAAGACTGCCATATCCACATGTGGAAATCAATGAGCTGCTTAGCATTATCCATTTGCACTTGTGTCAAAATCAAAGGATGGGTCTCACATGAGAGGATTCTATTTGGCAAAGTTGTCTATGAGAGTGTAAAGTGTGCACTATGTTAAGAGGAGTGGACAAAACTTCCAAAATGTGATCTAACTTTATTGGTCAAAGGGTCTCAATACTCAGTTTAACAACATACTGGAAGAGAAGAAGCATTTCAGGAATGGCGGAGTAAGGTCCTTGGAAAATGTATTCTCCCATAAGAGCAAGGAGAACATTGGCAAAAATTGTCAAAATCAACTTTTTTAGACCTCTGGAAATTAGACAAGGGCATGTAACAATTTCAGAAGTGTTTACCAAAGAAAAATAGGTGAATCTTGGTAAGAAGAGTGTGTTTTGTGATGTTTTATCTTGCCCTATTTCTATCTTCTCCTCAGCTCCACAATAACCAGAAAAGCCAACAACCTCACAGTCATAAGTGCAAAAAAAAGCAGTCCAGTAACCACTAGAGAGGACAAAATGGTGTTGAAGCATCCCAAGAAAGTGCCATTTGCAGTGATTTTTATTACTGGGCCTGTCTGGAAGCTCCCTGAAAGTCTCCATTCACAGAAATTATCTTCATTTGACCTCCTGCAGAATCCACTCAGTGCAAACAGCCTTTTTCCTGGAGCACTTGTCAAAAACTTTCAGTGGCAATTGCATAACATTGTAGTTGCCTGAGGTGGTGTCTTAGACTGTTCATGTTGCTGTAACAAAAATGTTCATACTAGTGGCTTATAAACAACAGAAATTTATTTCTCACAGTTCTGAAAACTGGGAAGTCCAAGAACAAGACACAGACAGAATCAATGTCTGGTGGGGGCCTATTTACCAATTCATAGCCTGCCACCTTTTTGCTGCATCCTCACATGGTAGAAGGGACAAATCAGTTCTTTGAGCCTTCTGTTATAAGGGCACACAGGGGACACCTTTACAGGAATCAGAGTAGGCAATCAATTTCTCATCAAAACCCCAGATGTCCATGCCATAAGAGATAAGGTAGACAAATGGGGCCTTTTTAAACTGAAAAGCTTCTGCAAAGCAAAATAAACCATCAAGAGAGCAGGGAGACAGCCCACACAGAATGAATAAATATTTGCCAACTGTTTGTCTGATAAAGGTCTATCATCTAGGATCTACAAGGAACTCAAATGTGCCAAAAGGAAAAAAACGAACAGCCCCATTAAAAAGTGAACAAAAGACATGAATAGACGCTTCTCAAAAGAAGACATATGGGCAGCCAACAGACACATGAAAAAGTCCTCAGTCTCACTAATCATCAGAGAAATGCAAATCAAAACCACATTGAGATACCACCTAATCCCAGTAAGAATGGCCATCATTAATAAAACAAAAAACAATAGATGCTGGCTAGGATGCAAAGAAAAGGGAACACTGCTGGTGGGAATGCAAATTAGTCCAACCTCTGTGAAAAACAGTGTGGCAATTTCTAAAAGAACTAGACATTGACTTTCCATATTACCCAACAATCCCCCTACTGGGAATACACCTGGAGGAACTCAAATCAGTCTACAAAAAAGATACCGGTACATGCATGTATATTGCAGTACTATTCACAATAGCAAAAACATCGAACCAGAACTGGATTAAAAAAAAATGTAGTACATATACATGATGGAATATTATGCAGCTATAAAGATGGACAAGCATATGGACTTTGCAGCAACTTGGATGGATTTGGAGTCTATAATACTCAGTGATCTATCACAGAAACAAAGGACTGAGTACCACATGTACTCACCCATAAGTGGACCCTGAACATTTATCATAATACTATAAGAAAGGGACTGGCGGTAGTGGGGCACTGCCAGGGGAGGAAGAGGGGGGTGGCACATAACATCATAAAGGTACTTGATCTCAAACCAGGTTAAGTGGGGATCAAAGGGAGGCCTAAACCTTACCTGTACGGTGACCACTTGTATACTTAATCCTGAATTGTACCCTACATTTTTAAACTAAAAAAATATTAAAATAAAAAAGAATTGAATGAAATAATGTATAAAACTAATGTTAGTTGTATTTATTATCGTTATTCAGTGCTCAAGCACTTATTAAACAGTCATTAAATGTTACCTTCTATCCTGTTGTTCTCCTGATCTCACATAGTCAGAGTAAATTTGAAATAAAAGTCTATCACATTCAAAAAAATAAAAGTAAAGAATAAGGGGCACCATTCGTGAGGGCTCCACTCTCATGAACTAATCACCTCCCAAAGGTCTCACTAATATCAACACCCTGGGGATTAAGATTTTAGCATATGAATTTGGGGGGACATTAACAGTTCATTGCAGGTGATAGCAATAAATGATGACTAAAAAAATTAAAAGACAAGGCAGATGAGATGTCCACAGAGAACTTTGAAAAGCTCTGCTATAACCCTGGGGATCTAGAAGACCACACACGTGTGCAAGTCTGCGTGCATCCCCAGGAAAGACCTGAGAAGACACTAAGCTCTCTTCTTTGGCTGACCTTGAGTTTCTGGACAGCAGGAAATAAAGACTAAGCAGAATTTTAAACTGTCAGAGCATTGAATGTATTTTTCATCTTGTACACAGAACTTTGAAGGAATGGTTGGGAGACTTATTGGCTCAAGTCATTTAAGGAAATTTTTGTCCAGTTGTTAGATGACAACTAAGCTAACCAGGCAGAGACTTTAGTGGCTACAACAAAGAATACACACTTTACAGACTTAGCCTAGCAAGACACTAAACAAACAGCAGCAACAACAATAGGAAAAACAAACAACTATAAATTCCTCAGAGGATGAGAATCTGATATTCAGAGTTATACAATTTAAAAGTCCAATTTAACAAAAAATTAACAAAAAACAGGAAAGTTAATATTCATTCAAAAGAACCGTTGCTGAGAAAGCTCACATGTTGGACTTACTATAGGACTTTAAATTGGTTATTATATCTATTTTCAAAGAATCAAAATAAGCCATATGTAAAATAATAAAAGTATGAGAATGATGTCTAATCAGGTAGAGATTATCATTAAAGAAATATAACTTATTTAAAAAGATAAAAACTTTGGAATTGAAAATTATAAAAATTGACATGAAAAATTCAATTCAGGGCTCACCAGAAAATTTTAACTGGCAGAGAAAAGAATCACTGAACTTGAGATTAATTTATTTGAAATTATTCACTCTGACAATTAAAAGAAAAAGTAAAAGGAGAATAAATGAGCACAGACTTAGAGACCTGTAGGACACATCAGGTGTACTGATAATGCAATATGGGATTCCCATAGTAAGATGAAATAGAAAAGAACAGAAAACAATTGGAAGAAATTATGTGGCTATTGTGAATGGAATTGTGTTTTTTATTTGGGTTTCTGTTTATTATTGGTGTAGAGAAATGCGATTGTCTTTTGTACATTTATTTTGTATCCTGAGACTTTGCCCAAGGCCTTTATCAATGTAAGGAGGCCTTTGACAGATTCTCTTGGGTTTTCAAGGTACACCATCATATCATCTGCATAGAGAGATAACTTGACTTCCTCTTTTTCTATTTGAATACCTCTGATTGCCTCCTCTTCTCTGATTGCTCTAGCCAGGACTTCCAATACTAGGTTGAACAGGAGGGGAGAGAGTGGGCATCCTTGTCTAGTTCCAGTTTTCAGGGGAATTGGTTCCAATTTTTGTCCATTTAGGAGTATGCTGGCTGTGGGTTTCTCGTAGATGGCTTTTACTATTTTGAGGTATGTTCCCCGTATGCCTAGATGTTCAAAGGTTTTTATCAAGAAGGGGTGCTGGATTTTATCAAAAGCTTTTTCTGCATCTAATGATATTATCATGTGGTTTTTGTTTTGACATCTGTTGATGTATTTAATTACATTTATGGTTTTACGAATGTTGAACCAGCCTTGCATGCCAGGAATGAAGCCCACTGAGATACCACCTAATTCCAGTCAGAATGGCAATTATTAACAACTCAAAAAATAACAGCTGCTGGAGAGGGTGTGGTGAAAAGGGAACACTTCTACACTGTTGGTGGGAGTGTAAACTAGTGCAACCTCTGTGGAAAGCAGTGTGGTGATTCCTAAAAGCTCTAAAAATTGACCTTCCATATGACCTTGCAATCCCCCTACTGGGAATATACCCTGAAGAACACAAATCACTCTGTAAAAAAGATATCTGCACACGTATGTTTATCACAGCGTTGTTCACAATAGCAAGAACCTGGAAACAACCATGTTGCCCATCAAAAGAGGACTGGATTAAAAAAATGTGGTACATATACACGATAGAATACTACGCAGCCATAAAAAAGAACAAAATCATGAATTTCGCAGCAACCTGGATGGAACTAGAGTCTATAATACTGAGTGACCTCTCACAGAAACAAAGATCAGAATATCACATGTTCTCACTCATATAATGGACCTTGAACATCCAATGTAATACTATAAGAAAATGACTGATGGTACTGGGAAACTATGGGGGGGAGGGGGATGGGATTAACAGTAGCAAATATCTGTCTGGGGCTGGGAAAACACCTCTTATCAACAGGGTGCCTGAATGAAACGTAATTGTACTCCTAACCCTTAACTGTACCCCACAAAACCATAATAAAAAATACTGATTAATTATTAAAAAAAAAGAAATTATGGCTGAGAACTTCCCAAATTTGATAAAAATATTAATGTACACATCCAAGAAACTTAATAAACTCCAAGTAGGATAAATTCAATGAGACAATTACACCCATGTTATAGTCACACTATCAAAAGTCAAAACCGATTCTAATACATTACAAATACAAGACAAAAATGAATTGTATTTCTATATGCTTGAAATGAACAATGCAAAAATAAAATTAAGAAAACAATTCCATATGCAATAATATAAAAATGCTTATGAATAAATTTAACAAAATTGAAGACCACCAAACATCACAAAAGGAAATTAAAGAAGACCCACGTGAATGGAAAAGCATCTTATGTTGATGAATGGAAAAATTCAATATTAAGATGGCAATATTTTTCCAAACTGATCTACAGATGCAGTCCAAACCCTTTCAGAAGCTCAGATTCCTTTTTTGTAGAAATTGGCAAGCTGATCCTAAAATTCATATGGGATTGTAAAAAACCCAGAATAACTGCAACCATCTTAAAAAGAAAACAAAGTGGAAGGGCTCATACTTCCTGATTTCAAAAATGTCTCCAGCCTTACTGAGAGTGATGTCAGCAAGATGGCAGAGTAGGAGATCCCCAGCCTGCCCATGTTCCCTCACAGAAACACATATTTGGCAGCCATCTATGATAAAGTCTGCGCGCGCACGTACACATACACACACACACACACACACACACACACACACACACACACACACAAAGATATTATTCAGTCTTTAAAAAAATAAGAAAATCCCGTCTTCTGTGACAACATGGATGAACTTGGAGGACATGGTGATAAGGGAATTAAGTCAGACACAGAACAAATACTTCATTGTCTCACTTATATGTGGACTCTTAAAAAAAACAAACTCATAGAAGCACAGAGCAGAATGGTGGTTACCAGAGGCTTTGGAAATTGGGAGATGTTGATCAAAGGGTACAAGTTTCAGTTATGCAGGAGGAATAAGTTCTAGAGCTCTAATGTAAAGCATGGTGACTATAGTTAATACTGTGTTGTATAATTGAAATTTGCTGAGAGTAGATCTCAAGTCTTCTCAACCTACACACACAAAAGGTAACCATGTGTGGTGACAGTATGTTAATAACTCGA